TTGTGTATCCTTTCAAAAACAGTGAATGCATTTGCAAACATAAATTAATACATATTTATTCTTTTATTAAAAAAACATGAGAGCATTCTATAACATTGTATTGGATCTTTTTTCTATTACCAGTATATCTTAGAATTGTTCTATATCAGCATCTGTAGATATACTGTATTTTTTTTTTTTTATTTGCCAGCATTCCATTTTATAGATGTACCATAGTTTATTAAACTAGTCCTCTGGTAATGAGACATTTCAGTTATTTCCTATCTTTTGATATTATGAACAATACTGCAACGGGTATATCTTTTACAGGCATTTTTGTCCATATGTGTGATTATGTGGGTAGGACAAATTCCTAGGAGTAGAACAGCTGGGTCAAACAGAATGCATTTTGACACATATTGCCAGACTGTTCTTAAAGCTGTTACACCAAGTTACACTCTCATCATACAGCGAGTGCTCATTTTCCTCACAGAAAGAGCAGACATTTTGACTGTTGTCAATTTGATATTAAAAAAAATACCCTAGCATTGCATTAACTTTCAATTAAGAAAAGAGATCATGAAAGTTATTTTTGAGACTCTTCAGGGGTTCCATGGAAGAAGAAACGTCTGTGTGGCAGTGAGGGGCGGGGGATTCTTGGAGGAGGCAGCTTTTAAGCGGTGTCTGGAATAGAACTCGCAGCTGAGATGGAGGCCAAGGGCAAGACACAGAGGGTGGGAAAATGTCTTACCTAGTTTGTCTTAAGCGAGGAGGGTGGGGGGAGCACATAGGAGTAGTGAGGAAACACACCTAGTTGGCAGCAAGGAATCTTGAAAGCCGGGACACTCAGCCCTGACTGTGCATTACAACCATGGGGCGGGACTGAGGGGTGGGGGGTCTGGGGGGAGACACACCATAAATAAATAAATAAATAAATAAATAAATAAATAAATAAATAAATAAAAAGTAAGTAAATAAGTAAGTAAGTAAATAAATAAGTAAATAATGCCTGAGTCCCATCTCAGACCCATTAAATGAGGCTCTCCTGTAGGAGCTTCCTGAAACCCCCCAGGGGACAGTATTTTGCAGGGAGGGTTGAGAATCACTGCATTAAGGACGCGTGGATGATTTACAGTCTTGGATCACATGCTGTTTACCTCTAAGTTTATTTACCAGTTTGCAATATGGGGAACAATCATAACTACTTAGTTCAAAGTTGAATTTAACTAAATTTCCAGTCACTTTGATGAAGAGAGAGTGAAAGTCCCAGGATTCCCCTGGAGTGAGACTGTGCTCTGACCTCAGTGAGGCACCGCTCTGCCACTAGGTGGAGCTATGGATGCGATTTGGTGAAAATCAGGCTTCAAAGAAATAAGTAGAATTTGGAAACGGGGAGAGACTTAGAAACCTGTTTGCTTTAACTCCCCGCCCCCTCCCCCCCCTTTATGTTTCATTTGTAAATTTCTTTTATTGCGTGTACAAAATTGACTACTTTTCAAATAAGTTATCTATGCTTATAGTTATAATCTACAAGGTAAAAAGGGTATTACAGTCTCTTCAGTAGATACTCCCTGTCTGCCCTCCAGATCCCCTTGTACTCTGAGAGGCTCATCTCAAAGGCTGCATTGACAGTGCCCTCAAACTTGGGCTCCTGGCAGGGTTCTCTCATGGAGCAGCACTGGCAAGAGACCTAGGGACAGGAGGGGAAGGGGTGGTCAGGGCATTTATTTCCCCAGCTCCTTCCCTGCTGGCTGTGGGCTCATCTAGAGAAGGCTATGGCTTCTGTTCAGTGGCCCCTTCTATACCTAGAGCTCTCTCTCTGAGTTCAGGTAACCATTTACCTTGTCCCGCAGGGCCTAGGCCTGTAATTATTCCCCAGCGCAGCTAGCCCAAAGGCAGGCACATCACCGTCCTTTGTTGGGCACCTGAGCCCTATCCACACCTTTGTAAGCCATTCTTTCATTAAACTCCTTTCCATTACACCTTTTGAGCGTGCCATGTATTTCCTGCTGGGACCCTAACTAGTATAGGGCTCACTTCCTCCTTTCTCTGTTCCCCATCCACTCAGTGCTCCTGAAGCAACGAATTCCATAGGTTTCCTGTATGCACGCACATACAAGCCTAAAGGAATATATTTTATATTCCCATCACCATTATTTACTCCAATATGTATACTATGTACCCAGGGAAGCACTGTAGTTTTTTTCTGTAATAATATATTCTAGAAATCACTTTCGAGTAGTATATAGAGATTTACCTTACTCCTTTTCGTGGCTGCATTATATTCCATTTTATGGAGGTGCAATCATATTTTAGTCAGTCTCCTATCAATAGACATTTAGGTTGTTTCCAGTCATTTGCTATTACACAACATTGCTATAAGAAATAATCTTGTACTTGAGTCATTTCTCCTTAATTTATGTATGAGGAAGATGAAACTGAAAAGGACTAAGTTGCCTGAGGTCAATTCCTTGCAGAGCACATGCCACAGTGACTTGCAAAATGGATCTGAATTTTGCTGAGAGTCTTCCCACAAGATGTACTGCTCTTCTTAAATTTCCACCCTTATGCTTTCATTCCCAGGGTAGTTCCAAGAATGGATTCTAGAGCCACAGTTCCAGGGTGTTTCTTGACCTATTATTAATTGGCTGTGTGACCTTGCACAAGTCACTTAGCCTCTCGGTGTCTCAGTTTTCTCACCGATAAAATGGTTTCTACCTCAGTGTTGCCGAGACCGGTCAGTGCTTGGAACAGTGCCTGGCATATAGAAAGAGCCGTGTAAGCGCTGGCTTTATTAGTGGTGTTATCATTCCTTTGGTTTGAGGCTGTGCTCTCATATTAGCATTGAAGCACAGCAAGAGAGAGCTAACTCTTTGCGTCTCATCATTCGTTTATCTTTTAAACTGAGATTATCTGAGAATATCAAATGTTTCTTGAGAGCAGATGTGGATGAAGAAATTAGAGCACTGGGGAACCTAAAGTGGTTCTAAAATAGAAGGGAGTTCCTAAAGATAACTTTGCCCACTTCACAATTTCATTTTGGTTTTCCTGTTCACGGGGACCATCAATCGATTTAGCCTCGGGGTGCCTCAGTGATATTACCTATAATTCACAGTTACGGAAAACAAAGGGGTGAAGGAAGTAACTTGCCCATAACCACCAGCAACTGAAAATAGAAGGAAAAGAATGCAGACTTCTCTGCGTGCCCTTTCCTTCTCTCTTTCTCTCTCTTACTCTCCTGGCTTGCTATCTTGAGCCTCCTAGGAGGTATAGAACTCCGAATCTAGCCATCACTAAGGTTGGAAGGGCGAAATGATCATGAAACCATCACCTTGGAGGTGGTGTCTGGGGATCCTCCTGGAACAAATGGAAACAAAAGCAAAAGCAACCCTAAAAAAGATCCCAGGAAGAAAGGAAGGTGAATGTCATTTGTACACAGCCCTGCTTCACCCTCATCTCTCCTGCGTCTGCCCTTTTGCCCTCTTATTCATCCAACATTCAATTATTTAATGTACATATTGAGCACCTACTGTCTGCCAGGCACTGATATCTGCACTTTCCTAGTAACTGCAGGGCTTTCTACAGATCTTCTTTCAGATCTCCTGGGAGATCCCCAAAGATCCCTTCCCAAAGCCTTAAAAGCCATAATCTTAGATTTCTCCCTTTCTAGCCCCAGGCAGCTCATCAGAACAGTAGGAACAGTTGAAGATGGAAGACTCTGTAGTTTCTGTTCTCTGCTCAACTTCCCCTATTTTTTTTTTCCCAAGGGAAATCTTAAGGGGGATCCAGGTGCAAGTGGGGCTTCAGCACCCGTGGAAGATCCTTACGGAACTTGACTGAGGGCGGGCCTGGCTCTGGTTCTGGTGAGCCACTGAGGTCAAGCGGGGGCTCACGCTCCCATTGGCTAATTTCCCTTCAAAAGAAGATTGGGGTGAAGAGTGAGTTTGAGGTGCACAGAGAGACCTTTAGGGGAGAGGAAGCAAAAGAGAAATAACACTCTTCCCCCAAACTGTTTCTGACAATTCAGCACAGCATCCTTTAAGGTTGCAATAGTATCATCACTCTGTGATAGAAAATTATGTTACCACAAAACAGGGAAGACAAAGGGAAGGTCCAGAGGGTGGTATGGTGGTGTCTGATATGGCTTTTAAATTCTACAAGAAGACTGCAGAGAGACCAATGTAGATGCTTACCATGAGTTGGTAGCTCTGCTTAAGTGTTCTCTCTACCTTTCCCACTGCTGTGTGTTTTCTCTAAAAATGTGGGTACAGGACCAGGAAAGGGGAAAATCAGAAGAAACATGCAAATATTGAGGTTCTACCCTAGTGCTGTCAGAGGCAACTTTCATCTCTGAAAGGATAAAAATTAGCCTTCCTCAGAGTTACACAGCAATCATTGGAAAGAACATAAAAATCTAGACCTTCAATCTCTTTTATTTCCTTCAGAAAGTCTGTTGTAATTAAAGACTGTGGTAATTTAAGCAGGCCTGCAGATTGTTTGAACTACAAAAAAAAAAGACAAGAAGAGAAAGAGGAAAGAAATCATTTGCAATGAATTGATAGGTAGAGGATCAAATGCTTAGGTTTATCTTAGAAGTAACCCACAGTAAGACTGTTGTATCAAAAAGGGAAGTACCAGTAGTATCAGTGCTTCTCAAAGTGTTATCCATGCATTTGAGCCAATCCCCAAACTGTTACTGGTCTACAAGGGCCTACTTGTCCAGTCCTTCATAAGAGGCCAAACTGTGGACCACAGAGATGCCTTTATATGTAAACACTTGAGGCCTGGTGCACGAAATTAGTGCACAGATGCAGTCCCTAGGTCTGGCCCACAATCAGGGCCAATCAGGTTCCCTGCCTCCTCCCTTCCCTGCCTCCTCCTTCCCTCGACACCCACATGCCACCACCTCAGTGCCTAGGAGCACTGCCCCCTGCCACCACCACTCGTTGCCATCTCTGGGTGATCAGTGGGGCGATTGGGCCCCTGCCCACAACCATTTTGGCCTGGTGCTGCCCACTCACCTGCTCCACCATCCTGCTGTGGTCCCACTCTCGTCGGAGCCCATCAGGGCCGGCTGCACCTCCACTGCCGCCTGTTGCCAGCGCCGTGTCGCCGACGCCCACCATGGTCCATGCTGCCCCCTGTTGGTCAGCGTATGTCATAGCAAGCAGTCGAACTCCCAGTTGAGGGACAATTTGCATATTAGGCTTTTTTTATATAGGATGATTTTGTATGAGTGGGGGATATATTTTTTAAGTATAAACTGTTGGGCCAGATGTGCAAAACAACTTGGTTTTGAAACCACAGGTTTCTGCTAACCTCTAGAGTCTAGACAATAGTTTGTTTCCTCAGGACAGATATATATGACGTCTTTACTCCTACCACTTGAGAAAGTTGGTCGATTTTGCCATGATCTGCCTGCAACTGCCTTTCACCACTTCCTTTTTGTGTGTGGCAGTTTTCTAGGTAGAGAGGAAGTATCTACACCTGAGCCCCCTGGCGCTCTGGTTTCAGTTACAATCGGAAGGCAGTGTCCACTGATAGGCAATAATTTATGATTACTTATGTTTTGCTTAGACTAACTCTAAAATACATTTTTCTTTGAGATTTGTGTAAAGTATTAGGAACCCAGGACTTTACCTACTAACTGGCTGTATTACTTTGGACATAGGACTCTCAGCTTCCATTTGTCCTAAGAAAACTGGGGAGAACCCTACCTATTTTACCAAATTGTTGTAAGGGGTTAAGTGAAATAATTTATGCAGCACAGCCTAGTGTAGCATAGCAGATATCCCTATGTGTTCATTTCTTCTTGGATAACTGGGTTGGAGCTTGGGAGAAGAATGGATGCTAGGTAGAGAAGGAAAAGACAGGAATCAACAGAAATAACCTCGGATTGGCAATCTGTAATCCGTTTCAGTCGGCTGGTTCAGGATATTTTTATCCCATCATAGGAAGTAACCTGCATTTTTTACATTATTCATGCTCTGGAGAGGAAACTGCTCTAGATGAATCCCCGGTGCCCAGCGATTTGGTATCATGGGAGTGTGCCCAGTCTCTTTGTGAGGACCATTCAAGCCCCCCACAAAGACAAATGTGTAACAGAGGTGTCAGCCTTCAAAGGTTTGCATTTATAATCAATATCCAAATAACTGAGCCGCATCTCCTCACACGCCCATAAGAAAGCTAACCTCGATCTCTCCTCCTCAAGGATTTCTGGAAATTCCTAAGGAATGCTTACTTCAGGTAACCACCTGGGGCCCCAGTGGCAGTGGATCTTATAATTCCTCACAACAGAGAACAGACTCTCACATTTAACCCAGTTTTACTAAGGAGATATGGGAATAACACGAAGAAATAGCAATGCAGAAAAGAAGAATATAAAACTGGGTCCTCCAAAACTTCTCCTACCCTGACCTCATAGGAAGGACATCTCCCCTCATCCCTATCTTGCTGCCATGAGACACCTACAGACAAGAATCCATTGACCATGACAGCAAGGAAACCCCCTCTCAGGGCTACAATTCTACTCACAGTAAACACAACCATTTTATATAATCAGTGCCTTTTATGTACAGTGCCTTGTGTGAATGTAGCAGGTGCTCAATAAATATTTGTTCAGTGAATGAATAAATAAATGAATGGTCTCAACCTTTCCATTGCAGATTAGAATCTTAGTTTTACATGATTAAAAAGACAATTAAGTCCCCCCCCTTACAATGGAATAATTATTAGCCATAAAAAAGATGAAATATTGCCATTCATGACAACATGGATGGACCTTGAGAGTATTAAATAAAATAAGTTAGTTGGTAGAGGAAAGTTTAGTTGAGGATAAGATATTGGGAGCCAAGTTGAAGATGAAAGATTCCTGTCTGGTATTGATGTGAAACATGAGTGAGGCTGCACCTTAGAACCTAGGTACTGCTAGCGGGGCTGAGCTGGAAGGGAACTCAAGAGTCATTTCGTTCCATCCTCAACCCATCCTCAAAAGAACTAAAGTGACTAGTTTGCAAAATCATAGAATCTTAGGATCAGAAGGAGACCTTAAAGGCTCACCTCCTAATGGAAGAATACCTTCTAGAGTAGCCTGAAAAATGGCAATTCCAAGCTATATGAATACAGGGGTGGGCAAAACTAGGTTTACAGTTGTGAGTACGAGAAACACAGAGTTTATTCTTGTACTAGAGGCCCGGTGCATGAAGTTCATGCATGGGGGAAAGGGGTGTGTCCCTCAGCCTGGCCTGTGCCTTCTCACAATCTGGGATCCCTCGGGTAGGGTCCTAGGCCTGGCTGGAGATCAGGGCCTATCCGGGCTTTCCTTCCCCTGGCTGCTGGCAGCTGGCCTCGCCCCCATTGCTGCCACTGCTTGCCATCTGTGCGGCGCTGCTCTCCCCCCCCCCACCCCCTCGAGCCTAGCCACCCGTCGCCTCTCTCTGTGCGAGACAGGCATGGGGTGTGATCACTTGGCGACCTGGGCCCTCTGCAGGGTGATCGCTGGCCAGCCCTGCACACCCACCACAGCGTCACTGGCCAGTGATCTGGGCCTCCCTCTGTGGGGCAATCGATCATGGGGCCTCCAGATTGATCGCCCTGCGGAGCGAGGCCCTGCCCACCCACTGCAGCACCACCAGCTGGGTGGCCTGGGCCTCCCTCTGCAGGGTGATCGTGGGGCAATGGCGGGGGGCCCCCGACCAATGGCATCACACCCGCCTTGGGTGTCCTGCTGCCAGTGTGTGTCATAGCGTGTTGTCCGGTTGATTTCCATATTACACTTTTATTATTATAGACTATTACTTATTAATTATTGTATTATATATTTGCATTGTCTTTATTATTGTTGTTATTATTTGATACCCTTACTTATGATTTATCTTTTAGGTAACAATGGCTGGTAATTTAATCTACTTTTGCCCACCCTGTATATCCAGCAACCAGGAGATTAACCTTTGATGAATAGCTCTAGTTGTTAGTGAGCTCTTTCCAGTTCTTGGACAAAACTCTACTTCAGTGTAAGTGTACGCACTGAACTTGGCTTTCACGTCTTGGCTTAACACTTCTGTAGGTGAAATACACCCAGCTCCTTTAGGTATTCCTAGTCTATGGTGGTTTCCAACCCCATCACCATCTTGGGTGCCTCCCCCAGATCTATTCCCATCTAACAATGTCCCAATTAGCAAGTAGGGCTCAGAATAGAACAAAATACTCCACATAACAGGCTGTTCTAGACATAGTAGGCATAACAAGACTATTTGTTTCCAGTTCTGAACAGTATCCTACTATCAGTGGTGCTAAAGTTCTTCTTAGCTATTTAGCGATTAGATTTCAGTTTGACCTACATTTGTAATTGTGGCACATTTGTAGTTCATGAGTAGGATATCACTCATATTACTTTATATCAAGCTCCCTTTTCCCATTAACTCCTAACAAACCAAGGTTCTTCCACCTAAAGTAGGTAAATAAAAAGCAAGACTTTATTTTCTACCTTCTTGATCTTGACCTAGAGACTGAACCTGGCATTTTAAATGAGAAAACTCTCATATATGTAAATGAATATTCTCCCTGCTGTATTCATCTTCATATAGCATAAGCTAATCTACTATGTCTTCATACCAGTCACCAGTAAGAGAGAGGTACACAGAAATGAGAGAATTTTTTAAGAGTTGCTTTGTCAGTCCAACCTCTTTTCCCAACCATATTAACTTATTCACATGTATATAAATGCAACCCTTTGTGATGTGCTGTGATAAAAATCAAGATAGTCTGTGCCTATGACATTTCTCTAAGCTATCAAACTAGTTATGCTACTTAAAAAGATGTAGAGTAAGTTAGTCAAGAAGTTTCTTAACTTCTCTAACCCATTTCCTTATCTATAAAATGCCAGTATTTGCTCTATTTTCTTTACCAGCTTTTAATTAGGAAGGCTCAACTAGTATAAGACATTTGAAAATGCTTTGCAAATTTTAACTTGCCACAGAAATCTAAATGATGATATGATGATTTGTTACTAATGCTGAATGTGAGTGACTCAGGCCTGACTTGCTTCTTTTAATGCTGTTTGCAATGTCTGTGTGAACCCACCAGTTTCTGACTCAATACTGAGTCTGGGTTTCTCCCTGTTGGACCTACCTCCTCCAACACCTGCAATAGATTCATACTCAGATTGTGGTTCTCTTGCTTCCTTCTGTTGTCATTTTCAGTTTCGGACCTGGATAGACATCAGGGCTTGTTGCGTGATACCCAATTCCCTTGTGACAATTTCAACCCTGGGCAGGCTCTTCAATTCAGTGCCCAACTGGGTGTCCAATACCCAGGGACACTGAGTTTGTTAGAGGAATAACTAAATAACTGAATGAAAGATGAAGGAAGGCCGCTTTCATTCTCACTTTTGTACCTTTACTGTGTTTTTATTCTCTCATGAACAGACAGACAGACAGACAAATACATGCACAGAGAAACAGACAGAGATAGGTGGCCTGTTAGACAGTTAGGTAGGTAGGTAGGTAGACTGACAGGTAGGTTGAATGAAATCCCATATGGGAAAGCATGATTTAAATGTTCTTGTTATACCATTGTCCTCATTCAAGGCTGATTTTCAGCAAGTACTCACTGGTGTGGTGGCATCATAGTTGGGGATAGAACTGGATAGAACTGCCCCCAGCACCCTGAGTGCTTCACCACCCAGGCCATCCCCTGAGGCTTGTCCTTCCCCCAGGCCTCCTTGATATTCCCACAACCTAACAACCCAGGAGTAACTCCAGGTTCAGCTATGAGCTTCCAGGACGATTCCCTAGCATTTGGATTGGTGTGCATTCAGATTGGTCACTTCCACTGCCAGGCAGGCTGGTGACATTTTTCACTATTAGCCCTGCCCCCATTACTTACCTACTCTCCCCATCACTGAAAATCTCCCAGGTCCAGGGTATGTCTCATCCTCTCCTGCTCTCCTGTGCTTCTCCCGCCCAGGCAGAGCTCCCGCCTACTCTGAATTCCTTTGAGTCTTATGGTCTGTTTCTACTCATCAGACACTTAATTGTACCTGGCCTTGCTTCTTTTATACAACTTTTCCTGTGGGCAAGGTATTTCCCCAGCTCCCATGAATTCCTCAAGCTGGAGCAGATCGAGTACAGACTGTGTATCCATTGCAACATCTTCTACAGTGCTAAGGGGGGGTTTAAAGTCCTAAAATGGAATCTGATAGAGCCTGGGGACCGTTCCCCACAACAGCCCTGAAAGGGAGGAGATGCTGTCAGGATAGCGCAATGAATCCCCTGTCTCAGCGATGAACACTCAGAACACAGAGTCTCTGTCAGCCTGGGCTGGAACTTGTTTTGCCTCTTGAGGACCAAAGCCTGGAGCCTGTTAGGCTGACATTTTCCTAACAGCTTTCAAATGTCACATTCCAGCATCCAGCACTCCTTGCTCTTTACTTCTTTTCATTTTAGAACATCAAAAAAGTTTTTGTGCTTTAGAAAGACCCCTCTCCCTCCCTCCCTCCCTCCCTTTGAATTTTCTGCTTTCAGGAGGGTGGTGCTGGAGGACAACTCCCCAGGGCACTGCTTGAGAAGACGGAGTGGCTCATCCCGTCACATGTGCGTCACATGCCCGTGGCAGCCAGTCATGCGTTGTGTGCAGAGGCAGATGCGGCATTTGGGTAAGCAGGGAGGATTCTGGCAACCCCAGTGCTTTTTCAAACGTTCACCTAAAAAATTCATCGTTTAGTTTCTCTTCAGATTCCCTTAAAAACACAGGTCAAACTTTGCACCTGACGAAAGGGGAAAAACCTGGCTTGTACATATAAAAATTTTGGCAAAAATACCACTGTATTTAATATTTGGGTGACTCTTTAAAAAACATTTTTAAATTTATTTCAGAAAGGAAGGGAGAGGGCGAGATAGAAACATCAATGATGAGACAGAGTCATGTTCCC